GCCCGGCCAACCTCTTTTCTTTATAAATTACCCAGCCTTAGGTATTTACAGCAATGCAAAGAACAGCCTAATGCAAGAAGTAAGAGGAAAGATGATACCAGCTTACCAGTAAGGGTACTAAGATGACATCCAAGTAAAATGCAGAACAGTTATCATTTCATTTGCTTGGCAGAAGGAGGGTGACAGTTTGTAGGGAGATATAATCCGACCAAATGGTTTAGGGAAATGTGAAACCAAATGGTTTAGGGAAAATAGGATGAAATTCAATATATTTGAATTTGGGAATATATTCAATATATTTCAGTCCAATATATCCTTACAGAGTGAGGTTTGGCATGGTGCCACTGTGGATCATTTGTCTTCTATTCAAAGGAAGGACAATGTCTGTGTTAATGTTATGGTTCAGGAACCCAGCAGCAAGTGCAGCCTGCAGCCTGCACTCCCAGCCACTGCTGCTTACATGAGATAACAGTGAGCCACAAGACAGCGTCCCCATCTGAGCATGCTTGGCCCTGGGAATCATTAGGGACTCTTAAGAAGCAGAAAGTCCTGACCACCTAACAGTGAGCACCAGCTTTTCACTTAATAGTTTCTGAATATTCACCAGGTCAGGTTTTCTTTTGTTTGTTTGTGTGTTTGTTTTGTAATTTTTGAGACAGGCTGGGGTGCAGTGGCACATTCACGTCTCACTGCACCTTGACCTCCTGGGTTCAAGCGATCGATCCTCCTGCTTCAGCCTCCTGAGTAGCTGAGACTGCAGGTGCACACCACCAAGCCCAGCTAATTGTCTTTTATATATATATGTATTATTTTATATATATGATATATATATATATTATATATTTAGAGACAGGGTCTTGCTATGTTCCCCAGGCTGGTCTCAAACTCCTGGGCTTGGGCAATCCTCCTGCCTTGGCCTCCCAAAGTGCTGGGATTACAGGCATGAGCCACTGTGCCTGGCCAGCTTGCTTCTTTTAACCTAAGCTATTCCTATTTTACCTTAACCTTAAAGCTGATTGGACTTCATTTTACGAGAGGATGCTGTGGCTTACCCAGGTCATAACCATTAAATTTATCACATTAACCAATGTTTAATCATGATCACAGATTACTGAGAATACTGGCAAGAAAGTGAGTAACTACAAAATTACAACAGGTTGTGTGCAATTAAAATTTTTTTCAAATAGATTTTAGGTTAACATTAAACATTCCAGTTATAATCTCTATTCTGCAGTTGATGCAGAGTTTGAGTTTAAAAAAAGAACTGTCTTCACAGAAACGTGGACTTAAAAATATTTTTTTATATAATAAACTTTATATTTTTAGAGCTATTTTAGGTTCACAGTAAAACTGAGCAGAAAATAGAGATTTCTGATACCTTTTGCCCTCAGACATGCACAACCTCCCTCCCTATCAACCTCCCCCACCAGAGTAGTAGATTTTTTACAACTGATGAACCGACGTTGACATATTATCACCCGAAGTCCGTAGTTTAGATTACAGTGGGTTTGGACAAATACATAAGGTTATGCATCTACCATTACAGTCTCATTCACTGCTGTATTAGTCTGTTCTCACACTGCTGATACCCGAGACTGGGCAATTTACAAAAGAAAGAAGTTGAATTGGACTTACAGTTCCACATGGCTAGGGAAGCCTCATAATCATGGCAGAAGGCAAGGAGGAGCAAGTCACATCTTATATGGATGGCAGCAGGCAAATAGAGAATGAGAAAGATGCAAAAGCAGAAACCC